CCATCGATACCCAGAATTATTCTCAAACCACTAAATACATTAATTATTTCTAATACAATTCGGATGTGTCAAATTGTACGACGAAGAGGAGGGAAGGAAGAGGTTTGTTCGTTCCTCGTTAAAAATTAATTTGATAAACGGGCAAAAGTTTTGGATTAAGTATAATGCATGAGCGTTGAAATGTAATCAATTCTTAAACCAACGTGAAGACAAATAAAAAAGGGAAACACGAGGAACGCGCGAACGAAACAAATTAAACAAATAAAAATAACAAAAATTAATAGTACAGTTACACGTGTAAGGATATAACAAAAAAATACAAGAAAAGGGTGGATGGGTTGGTTGGTTGGTTGGGATGAACAAGCAGAAAGAAGAAGAAAAAAAAAAAGAAAAAGAAATACAAATCGTTATCTTTAATTCAACTACTATCATCCCCCTCCTCCTCCACCTTCACCTACTCCTCCACCTCCTTCTCTTCCTATCCTCATCATTGTTCTTTTTATTTGCATTCGTAATACCCGAGCGTGGAAAAAATCTGCTTGGAAAAGTTGTTCTACCCCCCTTCCCCTATTTTAATGGGGGTTGAGATACTTTCGTTCCAGTATCGAACACTCGTCGGTCCTTGAAATTTGTCTTCACCTTCTCTCTTGGGAATCTTCATTCCACCCTTTTCCTCCACCCACCACCACCCTTTTTATATTTTCTCAAACCTCCACCCCCGTTCCGGGTTACTTTACCCGCATTGGCTGGCTGGCTGGCTGGTTGGCTGGCTGGCTGGGTTTAATTACGTCCCTTTTAAGAGTCAAGCAAACAATACGGTCTACGATTGTAATACGAACTCGAATTAACTACCATCATCATCATCATCATCATCATCATCATCATCATCATCATCATCATCATCATCGTTGACCGACCATAATCATTTACTTGTTTGCAATTATTTTTTCTTCTTTTTCTTTTTCTTTTTCTTCTTTTTTTTTTACGAAAATACACAAAGAAAACAATTAACACATAATATAATAATAAAATATAATTTTTATAAACATTATTACGACTTAGAATTATTAATACGCGTATCGTGTATTTATTAATAATTGATACGATTCGAATAAAAACAAAAAATCAAAAATAAAGAGAAAGAAAAAAAACCAACGAACATAATTAAATATTAATATAATAAATTTTCTTGTCCAAAATATTTTAATATTATTAACTTCAATCTTAGGGATATTTTTTTTTCTT